GTGGGGTCGGGGCAGCGCGCGCGGGCGGGCGGAGGCGCTGCGCGGGCCCGGAGGGGCGGAGCGCGGCCCTGCGGTCCCCCGCTCGGACCCCTCCCCTCTGTCCGCCCGAGCCACAAGGAGTCCCCGCCCCGTGCGTAACCCGCTCCGGGTGGACACCTGCTCCGCGGAGAATCCGATTTTGCAAACACTGATTGAGCGCCCTGCAAGTGCCAGGCACCGTGCCAGCGGCTGGGGCTTCAAAGCCGATGGAGGCAGAGAGCCTGCAAACCGAGTCCGGGTTGGCCGGGCAGCTGGCAGGCCAATGCGCTGCAACAATGCTACGTGCTGGGAAAGATTTATCGGTGCACGCTGCCCTGGGGGCTCCGAGGCGAGAGAAGTACCGCTGGGAAGAAGGCAGCTGGATTCTGCGTGTGTGGGAGGGGATGGGGCTTCATGGAAGGAGAGACTAGCGCTTCTAGCGCAGGCGAGCTCTCAAATGGCCTTGCGAGAGCACAGGCTTCTATTGTGCTCTCTGTCCCCATGTACCCCTGGGATCACATCACTTTAGCCCCTGGGATAGAGACTGATATTATTGTCCTTGCTTCAGCTGAGGAAACTGAGGCTCAGGGCTGGAACGGTGTGTGTGCAGGAACTGGGTGGACAGTGCTGGGTGAGTGAGCAGGTGGCTGTGGATCTTAAAGAGTGAGGTGTGGGCTGGTGGGTGTGTCTCCTCCCCTCAAATCCAGCAGCCTGGAACATCACAGCACATACTGCAAGGGGTGGACTCAGGTTCAGTCTGGGGTAAGTGAAGCATGTCACGGAGAGGACAGAGTGGACAGGCCCCCGGCAGCCTGCAGGGGACAGGGCAGCTGTGAGGGGCACATGTCACCTAGATACGTTCCCTCATGCCTCAAGCATTAGGCTACAGCAGTGCTCCACAACTTGTATGGTCCATGAATCATCTGAGGCTTGTGGGACAGAGCAGTGTCAGAGTATGCATTTCTGACATTTCTGACAGGTCCCCCCAACCCCCACCCCAGGTGATGGGAATAAACTGCAGGCCACATTCTGAATACAGAAAACTACACAGAAATGTTTTTACCAAAAAAACCAACTGATGGGTTTTTTTAACTACAGCTCCAACAAATGGTGTTTGAACAATGATTTTATGTGTATGCATTTGTGTGTGTGTGCGCACAGAGAGAGAGATCAATCCCTACCTCATGCCATGTACAAAATTCAATTTTAAGAGATATCATAGGTCTAAGTAAATTGATTTTTAAAACTCCTAGAAAAAAATATTTTAAATATTGGTGTAGCCATGGATTTCTTAGAAAAGATAGCAACAATTGATAAATGGAATAAATAAGAATCTAAACTATGTGTTCACCCAAAAACACTTAGCAAGAAAATAGGGCTGGAACCAGGCATAATGGCTCATATCTGTAACCTCAGCACTCTGGAGGCTGAGGTGAGAAGATTGCTCCAATTTGGAAGCCAGCCTGGGGTATATAACAAAACCCTGTCTAAAAAAAATCAAAGAGAAGCTGGGCGGTGGCACACACCTGTAGTCCCAGCACTCAGGAGGCAGAAGCAGGCGAATCTCTGTGAGTTCAAGGCCAGCCTGGTCTACATAGAGAGTTCCAGGACAGCTGGGGCTACAGGGAGACCCTTCTTCAAAAAGACCAAAAAAAAAAAAAAAAATCAAAGAGAAAGGAAGAAAGCAAGGGGGGAGGGACAAAGGGAAGGGCTGAGGGGCTGAGGATGTAGCTCAGTAAGAAAGCATTTGCCTAGCATGAGCAAAACCCTGTTTTTCTCCAGTGCCACAAAAAAAATTTAAAAAAAATAAAACATACAGACATCGTTGTCAGAGTTCTTGTTCATTATTTACAGTCAGGCACGGTGGTACAGACCTATAAGCAGGTACCCAAAGGGCTAAGACAGGAGAATGAAGACTTCAAGGCCAGCCTGTGCTACACAGAGATGATTCTATCTCAAGGGGGGGTTGTGCTGGAGAGATAGCTCAGTCAGTAAAGTGCTTGTTATGAAAACATAAAGACTGTTTTGATCCTCAAAAACTACATAAAAAAGGCTGGGCAAGATGGCACAGGCTCGTAGTTCAGAGTTGGAGAGCAGAGAAAACAGATCCCTGGCACTCACTGGCCAGCCAGCTTATCCTAATTAGTGAGCCCCTGATCCCAGAGAGAGACCCTGTCTCAAGAAACAAGGTGGATGACTCCTAAAGAACAAAGCTGGCTTCACACACACACACACACACACACACGCGCGCGCGTACACAAAAGATAGGCAAGCCACAAACTGGGGACATATGGAATATAGAGGACTTGTACCCAAAATAAAGAACTCCTGGAGCTCAATAACAAAAAGACGAGTAGCAAAAATAAGGGACAAAAGATACGTACATTTCACTAAAGATACACAAATAACATTGTTATATGAAAAATTGCTCATCCAATATCATTTGTCATGATGGACATGCAAATTAAAACCTGTCTATAAATTAAACCTGCTGCTATTACAAAACACCACAGGCTGAGTACTTTATATATAATAGAAATTTATTCCTTAGAAGCTGGGAAGTCCAAGGTTAAGGTTGCCAGCAGGATCGTGAAGAGGGCCCTATATGTCTCTCACATAGCAAAAAAGCAGAGAGAAGTGGACACTGTCCTTGCATGGAAGGAGCCAAGAGGACAAGAGTTCTGCTCCCTTCAATCTTTCCAATAAGAGCACTCACCCTATGATGAGTGGTAAGTACCCACCATCAAGTAAATGATGACTTGTGGTATATACGTACAATGGTCTCCTAGTTTCTTTTCCTGTTGCTGTGATAAAACACTGAAACGCAACTTAAAGGAGAAAGGGCTTATTTTAGTTCACAGCTCAGGGGTACAGTCCATCATGATGGGAAAGTCAGGGTGGCAGGAGTTTGAAGTAGCTGGTGACATATCCTTAGTCATGGGGAATGACTGCTGCTGGAGGTCCTGCCTCCATTTATACAGTTCAGGATCCCAGCCAGGGAAGAGTGTCACCCACAGTGGGCAGGGCTTCCCACTGCAATAACCTAATAAAGATAATCTCTTACAGGCATGCCCAGAATCACCCAGTTGAGTCTAGATTCTGTCAAGCTGACAACACGAGTCATCACAAATAGTATATTTACACATCAATAAAAAGTAACTAGTGTTCAAAATTTTTCCCATCATGCAACAGCATGACTGAATATCAAAATATAGAGGCTAAGGCCAGGCATGGTAACACTCACCTTTAATCTCAGCACTTGGGAGGCAGAGGCAGGTGGATCTCTGTGAGTTCACAGTCAGTATGGTCTGTGTTGTGAGTGCCAGGTCAGCTAGGGCTATATAGTGAGACCCTGTCTCAAAGCACAAACAAAAACAAAACATAACCAAAAAATAAAACTAGAAAGAGGCTGGATGAAGGAAGTGTAGCAAGTATATTATTATTATTACTACACAAGTTACCAAAATTACTCTAGAAGAAAGGGAAAATGTTAACAGAACAATTTCAATAGAGTAGAGATGTCAAAAAATTCCCCAGACCAGATGTGGAAGCATATATCTGTAATACCAGTACTTGGGAGGCTAAGTCAAGAGGATCAAGAGTTCAAGGGCAGCCTTGACTACATAACAAGTTCCAGACCAACTTGGGCTATATGAAACTGTCTCTCTTTTTTTTTTTTTTGATACGGGATCTCCCTGTAGCCCCAGGCTGGCCTCCATCTCACAGGCATCTACCTCCCTCTGCCTCCAGAGTACTGGGATTAAAGACAAGCACCACCATACCCAGTGAGACCCTGACTCTAAAAAACAGAGCGCTCAGGCTGAAGAGATGGCCCAGTGGTTAAGAACTCTGGTTGTTCTTGCAGAGGACCTGGGTTTGAATCCCAGCACCCACATGGCAGCTAACAACTGTCCATAACTCCAGTTCCAGGGGTCTGACAGCCTCTTCTGTCTTCCGCGGGCATTGCATGACACGGGTGCACTTACCTTCACGCAGGCAATACATGCATACACATAAAATAAAAATAATTAATAAAATATTATTTAAATGTTTTTGAAAAAAACAACAGAGGGCTCGAGAGAAAGAATACTCTCTCATCTATCATGTGCATCAGAGTTCAGATCCCAGTACCCACATTAGGTAGTTCACAAATGTCTGTAACTCTAGCTCCACAGGACCCAACACCTCTTCTGGGCTCTGAGGACACTCACACAAACAATTGTGCATACATTCACAAAGACACACATAAATAATAAAAGCAATTTTCTTAATTTTTAAAAATATTTTATTTATTATTTTTATTTTATGTGTATGAGTGTATTGCCTGCACATATGTGAGTGCACCCATGTTGTGCAATGCCACAGAAGTCAGAAGAGGGCTTTGGATTCCTCTGGAACTGGAGTTAAGAACGGTTCGTAGCTACCATGTGGCAAAATATTTTTAAAACATAAACTTTTATATGTATGCATATGTTCGTTACACAGGCGCTATTTGAACAAGCAGGTTGGAAGGGAAAACAGGAAGAAATTCAGGTGGAATAGAACTCGGAGAGAGGGTGCTGGGGAAAAGAGAATCCCATGACTGGTATGCAATGCAAGGGCAGAGTTAGCCAAGATGATTGGGAGATGGGACATGAGTCACCCAGCCAGGACCAGGATGTTCATCGCAGAGGCCACGGGAAGAGGTAGACAGTCGCCAGAGGCATGGAGGAGTCCGGAGTCTGTCTATGCAGAGAAAAAAGAGGGTGTATGAAGCCTGCTCCAGAAAAGATGGATGCCAGCAATTCTGGAAGAGGTGACAGGGACTGCCTCACCTACAGGTGCTCATGGTTTGACTTGGAGTTCAGCCCAGACTCCAAAGGGAACAAGGAACAATTCCAAGAGGGGAAATGGGCTTGCTCCCAGGCAGGCATCTAAGCAGAG